TAACTTTGTTTTATACGGTACTTTTAATCTCATGTACCATCCTTATCTCTGTTTCATCCCCAGCCGCCCCTAAACTTTATCTCTTTCTTTCACGCCACTTTTTTCTCTTCTTTCTCTCTCAAATCTCTCCCTCTCACTCGTAAAACCCCTCTCTCTCTCCCAAGTATCATCAATCTCTCATCTCCCTCATTGGTCGAGAGGGAAGCCACACATGGTGTTTAGTTACGGTATAAAGAATGTTGTAAAGAAAATATTATTATTTTAATTACCGTAATACTACTTAAAGTTATTACGGCATTTTAATTACTGTAAAATTTAATATGAATTAATTACCATAAAACTTAATACGAATTACGGTAAAACGACTACCGTGAATGTCATTTTCGTCCAAAAAAAACCCGAAAATGAAAAAAAATGATGTAGACGATGTTTTTGAAAGTTGTGGTTTTTTTTCCAATTAAGCTAAAATATAAGTATATTTGCGGTAATTACCCTAAAAACTAATAGGTGAATTCGTAGAGGGGTGTGACCGAAGTTTTGGAAAATGTGTTCGATTTAGAAGACAAAAATCGATACCCATTTTCTAGTCCCCTCTGTTTTTTTTGACAGGACATTTTCTCGTCCCCTAGAGAGAGAGTGGGGAATTGTTTCTGAAAGTAATGGTGGTTCAGTACAGGGAACAAACAAAATTGAGAGAAAGAGCGAGAAAAATTGCATGTTCGTGTGAGAGAGAAAGAGATGCATACCGCAATTGGTGTAAAGGTAATGTAGAGAGAGAGAGAGAGAAGTGACCGGTCACAATCTCTGAAAGGGGCTTGGCATCGGGAGAGAGCTTCTGCGTCAGTTGTGGAATGGAATGTGAAGGGGAAGAGAGAGCTTCATGTTCGCCAAATGTTAACATGAGATCTAACAAACGCTCCTCGTCTTACGTACATGCACAAAAACGCCTTCTTCTCCCAAACAAACCCCTCAGTTCCACTTAGGCGGCCTTTGGATTAGAAATCAAGCAGCAACCATGGGAATACCGATAGAAGGCCATGGTGTTTCCTTTTCTTTATGGCCAGGCCTTGGTCTTTGGGCAGCCGTAATTCACCAATTTGGATTGATTTTTGTAATGTTTGATCCGGGTCATCGATCTGTTTTTTAAATCATTGGTTTACAATGATTCATTTAATGTAACAACTGCAATTTTATGGATTTTCGACAGGCGAGCAGGTCTAGCTCAAATTCATATTTTTGGGCCCAGAACAGGCATTGGCCCAACTACATCAATTTGCGTTGGAGTTGGACTTGGTGGGCTAGTGGCATCCATCCCTGTATACTGTCACCTTGGATTTAAAAGTTTACATGTCTATCAACTCGACTATGGAGATTATAAAAAAAAATGAAATTTAAACAATTAAAAAATTTCTATATTGCACTTGTCTTTTTGAACCATTCATTTCTATTCTTCAAAGATCGTGAGCCAAACGGAATTTCCAAAAATCAACGATGTTTTAGGGTCATAATTCCCTTAAAACCTTGGGTGACTGGGTGGTAGGTTAACTCACCGCAAATCTTTTCCTCTAGTAATGTGAATGCCAATAAGTGCAATACATCACACCGTCATTATCGTCAAAGCTTTTTTCAATTATTTGGGTTTGATTACACGTATCCTAATATTTCATTTTGCTCTATTATGAGTAATATATCAAACAATATGCTCTAAAAAATGGACGGTGATATTATTCTTTTCTCCTGCCATTTTAAAAAATTATTGGAGAATGCATAGTATGCATGCTTACGATCTATAGCAGTACATCTAACTTGGAATTGAGATGGTTTAATACACTCTCATGGATGAGTTGAGGGGTTTCTATGCCATTCCAACAAATGTTTGGGCCTTCAATTTAGCTACATTAATTGGCTAAAAATTATGTGGGGGCTGGTGAAATACGAGGATCACCCTTGATCTCACCCATTATAGCGACGCGCGTACTGAAAATCCGAATGGTGTCTAATAAGGGGTGAGCATGCTATGTTATTGTAGGAGCATGGTGTACATCTACTCTTCATTTAGAAGACCTTGGAGGGATTTTTTTCAATCTGAATTTATGGGAAGTACTCACTAGATGATTATTCTAAAAAAAAAACAAATAATTAAATTTTAAGTTTTCTAACACTTAGATCTCACCTCTAAAAATTGGACAGTCTCTAGTTAATCTTAAATATTATTATTTTTTATTGGATCTATAGGTTGAAGAGGTTGTATTCCCAAAATTTGAGGTCCTAAAATTAATCCTAGATAGGGTTTTACCCTAGGGAGTACATTATATCCCCAATAACACACAATATCTTTTGGCAATAATAAAACTACTTACCTGTAATACAACGTTACTATTATTCCCATCCATCAAATTTAGAAGTGGGAGTTGGAGATGTACTGTTGATCAAACTCAAAGTCTAGAAAGAATTTTCTTGAACTTTTCGGCCTCTCAAAGCTCATGGCTAAGAGCAATTGTGACTTTCTTGTACCAAGATACATGGTATTATAAAATACAGTCCTTTAAAAATTCATGACTAGCCCGCCCTTGGCCAAGCCTTGTATTTTTTTATTATGTTTGTTTTCTTTAATTTTAATTTGTCTTGGCTCAATCTGAACCATATCATGGCTGGGGTGGCGACCTATCTAAAGGTTAAGGCTAGACCTAAGCCAGAACCTTTTTTAGCCAGTCCAAACCATGTTAGTCTTGGTTAAGGCTGGCCCTTTGAGGACTTGGGCTGGTCCAAACTGCCCTATATTGGGTTTGGAACCTTGAACTAGTAACGCTAGTATTATAATTTTTATAATCTAGCCACTTCAATTATTTGAGCTAAACGACATAAATATAAATTTAAATAGCATATGCTTGCTCTAAATTCCAAGCCCAAAATATTTTTTGCATAAAATATCACACTCTAACTATAGAACTTAGGCCAAATGTATTTTTTATCAACTTAAATCACAAAAAATGTCCCCACTTGTTCCGAGTCCTAAACCGAGAACTAGAATGTTTTATATATTATATGTTTAGAATGTAGCTAGGGAGCTGACTGGTGGGCCAAAATCAATTACTCATTTTTTCCAGGTTACAAACTTGGAACAAGGCAAATTTGAGTATTTATTAAAAAAATTACGTAGTAACCCAATAAGTGAAACAATTTTTTAGAAATAGTCATTTTGTTAGTAAATTTGTTGATTTAACAACCTATTGGTTTTCGTTTAAAAAACAACCTACTGATTCTAATTTTCTGAGATGGCACTTTAGTGGCATTTTCCCAAAAACCAATACAAATAAAAAACTACCATGACTACAAATGTTAGAAAATAAATAAAAAAATCATGCATATTTGAGACTTTGTACCACCCACCCTTTTGCTAAGAAAGCAAGAGGATTCTCATTTGCCACAAGACTTCTAGACTCTAAACATTCAAATTGGAGCCCACATTCAAATAGTGCCGAGAAATGTAGTTTGATTTACTGGAAATCTTTGTGATCGCTTTAAATATATTTTCATATTTAATTATAAAATTTAAATCTTTAAAAATAGTGTAGATCCAGCAAATCTACGAAAACTTGAAAATCTTGAAAATTGATGGTCTAAAATGCATTGCAAGATGTACTATTTCCAAAATCCGAAGCTTAGTATTGTTGCACAAAGTTTTTCAACTTTCATTTCAGATCTTCGAGGTTTGATATTGGTTTTTGTTGTTTTGTTTTCTCACTAACATCAATTTTGGAGGTATGAAGTTGATGTCAATGACATTTTGTTAGAAATTGTTGGTTTTTGTTTTAAATATCCAGTTCGGACATCAACTTTAGACCTTCAAGGTCTAAAGTTGATGTTTGAGATCTTTGGCTTTTAATGCACATCATTTTCAGATCTTCAAGTTCAAAGTGAGGGCAATTTTGGATAACAAAATATTATGATGGCAAAATAAAGCTTTCAAATATAAATTTTATAAGGGAAATTTATCAAAATAATCATAAGATACGAACTATTTAATATTTTACCTATGTTTTTTATTTTATTTTAAAAATATATCAAAAGATGCATGATCATGATATGGAATAGTTGCAAATGGGTAAAATACTAGTCGTTTATATCTCATAGGTCGTTTAATAAATTTATTCTTTATAATGACAGTAATTCAGGGGATTATCAACAATGAAAAAGAGTATATAAGTCTATAGAGTTCAGAAATTCATAAATAAAACTAACAAAAAAGCATAGGCTGACGTTCGTATAAGATATCTAGCTTATTAACTTTATGATTGCTTGAAGTCCACGTTCAACCCTGATTATAAAATTCCTAATTCTAAAAACATTGCATATCAGCAAATCAATAAACACTTGAAAATCTAAGAAATAGACGGTCTAAATAGCTCGTTACAATATATACTAATTTAGAACTTGAAATTATTTTTTACTTTTTATCACTAGGTCGAGATGATCATTAGGAAGTTTTTTCGACTCTATAACACTATTTTCTACTGATTTTTTGAAATTCAATTAGAAGGTTGCAACCTTATATAAACTTTTGCTAAAAAGAATATGTGTAGCTTCTTAAAGCCTACATTTTATGAATATAAAGTAAATTCTTGTTCGGAAAGCACTTTGGGCAACAAAAATCTCTATGATAATATAAATGATAATATAAATCTTGCGGATCAGTGAATGCTTATTTTTATGGTGAAATGGTAGGTGAGCTTGAAATAATTTTTTTTTTTTTACAACGATAATGGTAAAGCTCGAGATCATTGATTTGAAGGCTTTCGGATGCCAAGCTGCAATTTTTTTTGGGTGCGGTTTGAAGTGAGGTTTTAATGCTATTTTCCAAAACAAAATGGGTGGAGATCCCACGTGTGCTCCATATATTTAACTCTTGCATTAGTCTCGTGGAGAAAATAGATAGATGGATAGCCTCATCAAATCGCAGGCTTTCTTTCCCCTCTCTCTCTAAAATTGCATATCGTGATAAACACACTCACTCTCTCTCTCTCTCTCTCTCTACTAAAGAAGCAACAGGATGATAGAACAACCTGCTGAGAGGAATTCGTGAGGAGATAGA